GCATTTGCATTTTAACCGTATACACTTGATAATTACACCTTTCCGCACTCTGCAGTGCTGATTGCATTTCTTGATACTTTCCTTGTAATGTAAGTCTGTGGTTCTAAGAAAAGAAATAGCGCTACGGCATTGCAGGTACAGTTTAACTAGTGTTAGATGTAAAGAAACATGCTACTTCTTATGATTTAGAGTGTTCGTCCACAGATTAAAGTATGAAATTTATAACACAGTTCGTTTAATTACTTAACTCGGGTTTAATCAACCTTGTTAAATTTGACGGTTACGATTTGAAATTGAATTTTGGCTCTGTCCCGCTTGGTAATTTTTAAATTTATTTCTTAAAATTTTAAATTTATGTAGAATGGGAATATTTTAACGCAAAAATCACAATTGAGTTACACGAACATATTGTTCTCACAATGACTGATACGTAGGGTCTTCTATTTTGAAGTATATTTATTTATTTATTTATTTATTTATTGAACACCAACGCCAACACCATTTTACATTAAGTAAACTACAATTAAGTGCAAGTACAGATTTCTAATAAAAATTTTTTGTCCTGTACATTTAGGTCAATATCACAGACTATAGAACATGTAATGTCAATATGCTTAGTATTATAATAAGTGCCTACTTAAGTTTCCTAAATTATTCAGTGAACAATTACTACATTTTTAGATTTGTTATTACTATATTTAACACATATTTTAGCTGATAAAAATATACAGGGTGATCAACTCAAGGAGGCCACCATTGGGATATCGGAAACGGTAAGAATTAGAGAAAACTTTAAATGGGGGACATTCCTTTATTTTTTGTGGCAGTTAAAAATATGATTTTATTTTTTCGAAATTCAGCCGCCATTTTCCAAAATGGCGGCCAACTTTGAAATTTAGATGGGGGACATTCCTTTATTTTTTGTGGCAGTTAAAAATATGATTTTATTTTTTCGAAATTCAGCCGCCATTTTCCAAAATGGCGGCCAACTTTGAAATTTCTTAAGGAACACCCTATATTTTATCACGTTTTCGGATAGAACAGGCAATTTAAAAACTTTTTTATTCTTGACATTTTTTCGATAAACCCACTCGTTTAGGAGTTACAGCCTATGGAAAAATGACTTCCGGTGTACATTTTACATCATGTAGCTCCTAAACAAGTAGGTTTATAGCGAAAATGCGAAAATGAAATGAGTCAAATAAGTCTTAAAATTGCATCCACATTCCAAAAAGACCAAAAAATACACAGTTTTCCACTTTTAAAGTTTGCCGCCATTTTTGAAATAATAGAATTAATAGTTTTTAACGAATTTTTTGGTCTTTTAGGAATGTGGATGCAATTTTAAGACTAATTGACTCATTTACTTTTCGCATTTTCGCTATAAACCTACTTGTTTAGGAGCTACATGATGTAAAATGTACACCGGAAGTCATTCTTCCCTAGGCTGTAACTTCTAAACGAGTGGGTTTACCGAAAAAATGTCAAGAATAAAAAAGTTTTTAAATTGCCTGTTCTATCCGAAAACGTGATAAAATATAGGGTGTTCCGTAAGAAAATTCAAAGTTGGCCGCCATTTTGGAAAATGGCGGCTGAATTTCGAAAAGATAAAATCATATTTTTAACTGCCACAAAAAATAAAGGAATGTCCCCCACTTAAAGTTTTCTCTAATTCTTACCGTTTCCGATATCCCAATGGTGGCCTCCTTGAGTTGATCACCCTGTATTTATACATCTAAAATACCTGTTTATAATAATGGAAATCTCCTATTTGCGTGTGTAAACGTAGTATGGTAAAGAATATAATGTCAAGGGTCGAGCAGTGCATTTATATGTAACTGGAAATATGTGAGTGACATTTGAAATTGGCCTTACATGTTTGCTCCTTACCTTATCTCTGGATCGTTGACGTATACAAAATAAAACGATTCGTCCTTTAGTTGCGTTTTTAATTATTAATGAGTTGTTTAAATGTTGCATTATAAACATTAATTCCTACCGGATTCAGGGATGCAATGACAAGACATTCTTTTAAAACTAGCTGACCTTATTTGACATTTATATTAAAGTGTACGAATAATGTATTAACCCGGAACATAATTGAAGAGTGGAAATTTAATCTACGAGGAGTAATTAAGAAATTGAACAAATATAAAATTACTAAAATATTAAATGATGAGAGAGTTACTAAAATACAGCGTGTTTCAAAACTCTCTCCCGGAACTCCCTGATAATGTTCCTTAGGTCAAAACAAACAAAAAATATCGAATAAATTTATGCCCTAGATGGCCCTATCTCGCTTCTTTTTTCCGTCTGTCGGTGCGCATATATTTTTTACATAACTTCCCATAACTTTGGAACCACTAAAGTACCAAATATAGACTAACTATAGACCAAGTATAGATAATACCAACTTCAAACTTGGTACGTGTATGATGACTAATTGGAACTATTTTTTCGCCAAGCATCAAGTTTATACTTTGTATAACTTCAAAATGGTGGCCATTTTAATTATTTAAAGCTTAATAACTAAAAAACACTAGGATTTATTTATAAAAAAGTTACAAATGATAAAACAGATGGAAATCTAATTTACTTTACAGAAATTTTAAATCTTGATAGGGTTATAGCGCAAATAACGGAGAAAAATAAAATTTTCTGAAGTTAAAACTAAAAACTTGGTCTAATTCAATAAAAGCAGGTATTACCTTTATAAAAATTAAATTTCCTCTGTTATTTGTGTTAAAATTCAAATGGTCACCATTTTGAAATTACACGAAGTAGAAACTTGACGCTTTGCAAAAAAAATAGTTTTTATTAGTAAAAAAATAAATGATGAGAGAGTTACTAAAATACAGCGTGTTTCAAAACTCTCTCCCGGAACTCCGTGAACCGGAGTATATACACGTGATATACACGTACTAAGTTTGAAGTTGGCACCACTTCAATTGGTTCCAAGGTTATGGGAATTTATGTAAAAAATACATGAACACTGATAGACGAAAAACGAAGCGAAATTGGGCATATAAATATATAAAATGTTTTGCTTGTTGTTGGAACATGCCCACGGAGTTTCAAGAGAGATTTTCGGTTTATGTGACACAAGTTATTTATAGATAGCCTGATTTTAAACAAACCGTTAGATTTCAACATCAAAATTAAAATATTCAATATCACAAATAAGTCTTTTACATTGTGATAAAGAAACGTTGGTTCTGAATGATGCTGTACAATCTATTTACATTTATCATTGAAACACTTATTCATACATGTTTTTACTGCAGTATAGTTACTTAACATATCGATCTATTATTCCTCGTAAATCTTAGAAGTAAAATATAAGTAGATAGGGTTGCCTGATTTTTTCTCCGGCGAATAAAAGTGACAGCGATGTTGGGAATGAGTATACGAGTGTGGGCAGGGGACGATTTGTCCTCGAGCGAGCGACGACGACTTGTGCAGGTTAAAACTGTATGTTAGTTCCAGCAGAGTGCTTGCTGGTAAAGACTTATGGTGTATGAAAGCTAGGATATGAAATTATGAGTCTTTGTTAAATTAAGTAGTAAGTTTATTTAATTTTATAAAACAATTGGAGTGATCACTAAACTGGCATGTGTTAATGTGTAATACTTTGGATAAAAGTGAGTCTTGCAAAATTGTTCCAACCTGAAGAATTCTTAGTTTAAACCGTTCTTTGTCGATGGAGCCGGTACAGCGCCTGTCTTCATTATCAGCAAAGTAAAAAGTTGTCTTCATGGGATTAGAAAAGGTAACTACCTTTTCACATTTGTAAAACTGAGACATGAGCAACGTGTTATGACTTAAGTCAATAAGAGTAGCTGTGTATCTGGATGATAATGAAAGATGGTAAGTTTATATATAGGTTAAGCTTAGTAAAAAACAACATTGGTAAATAATAAAGATTTGTTTATTCAAAATATGAAGTTGAATACATTTCAAGCCTTACACATATTTAGAAGATCATCATGAGTGACTTCCAGAGACAATGTATATCTCCCAGTGACATCCTGGCCCAATGTATCTGATCCGTCCTCGCAGTAGACTATATTCTTGGTGCTGCCCTTGTCTGTTGTCTGTTCCTTGAAGCGAAGATAGGAGCAAAACGGTGAGTTGTAGCGATGATCTTCTATTGCGTCATCACCTTCTTCCCACTTGAAAAGATTAACTCCACAATAAACGCATTTAGTGGTGTCCTTCATAGCAGCCATTTTGACAAAGCCTTCATCGGCAAGCTGCTTAGCAGAAGGAGTTTTAAGTTTCCATTCGTCAAAGGTCTTTACTCTCACTTCAGGGTTGTTCATGTCTAGCATAGCTGGGTTTTTCAAACACCAATCAGCCAGTTTGTGTACATTGGTTTGTGAACAATAAAATCCTGGAGCATGTAAATGATGAAACAAACACTGATTCTTTTGTTTGGATAGTTCTTCAACGGGAGGAAGTAGTAGAAAATCGCTCGATAGAGGGGGGCCTCCAAGTAGCTCAAGACTGAACACAACTCTTCTGTTCTCTAGCAACTTTTCCAAAACCTTTGCCTTTTCAGTTGAAGCAGCATACAATAGGTTTACATTGCAGCAAATGTCTCTCAGAGATGACGTGAGAGAGCTATATTCAACGTTTCCTGTTCCGAATCCGAGGCCGTGATAGTGTTTACTCAACCACCTGTTATGATTGTCAAACTGTGAACTGTGCCACCCTCCGCAATCATGTTGTGTGCTTGGAAAAGTAGATCTGGATCCATCCTTAGGTGGTGAGAAAATCCAATGTTGTACACATCTTGAATCCAAGTCCAATATGCTCAATTCCTTGATAACCACTGTCTTATCCTCTCCGATAAAAGCACTAAAATCTATGATGGCCTGTTTAATCATGACTGAAAGTTCTAACTCCAACGAAATTCAAGTTGAGACTGAGAAACCAAACCGACAAGAGCGGGCTTTATAGCCTATCCCCACCCCAAATTCCAACACTTTCTGCATGAATCACATTATCCGATGAACCAGGTTAGTGGCTGGCTCATAGCTGAATGACTTGTCGTGAATTATCAAACAATAAGCAGCAGTCCCTGGAGGGAAAGCTTCGCTGGCCTCAAATTCTAAACGAATATCAACAGGGGCTGACCTAAGGGATTCGTTTTGCTTAGAACAGTCAATTACGATTAGTGGTGCATAAGAAATGAAATTTTTAACGTCCAAAAGTGGTTGTGATGGAACATTGTAATACGACTCCTGAAAACGGGTATACATGTCGTAGAGTATAGCGTAGTGGTTCTTTGCAATGTCTAGTTTTAAATCATCATAAGGATAGTTAATAGAGTTTAAATGAAGTTTTATGTTTGATATCTTGCAGTGATCAAAGCATGCGGCAGACTTTTTCATGTTGTTTTTGCGATTCTCCTGGAAAGCCACTATGACGTATCTTGGCTTCTCTAGCTGTGATGCCGTCTTTACTGACCAAGATTGCTTGTTTGATTGTGGCAAAGAGGGATACTCATAGAGTTCCCAGCTTCGATACTCTACAGGAACACTCGTTCCCCTTTCCAAATGTCTAAGCAATGCAATTCTTTGTCTATCACTCAAAGAAACGTAGGGAACCCTCCAGCATAGTTTCTCTAGTTTAACTTTAATATCTTCAGGAGTTGTGTCAGTAGCACCACTTGAGGTCCACAAAACTGCATTTTTGTCCCCGGCCGACCTCAGTAGAACAAGCTCATGACGGCAGTTGACAATAACCTTTCTATAATCTTCTGCGAACCCCAGAAGCCTACTTAGCGGTATGCAAAAACTAAAATTTCCATCAGTGTCAGTCACATGACTTTCCAAAGTGGAAGACAACTTATTCACCTCGGTTGGCCAGCCAGAGTTCCCTAAACTTCTTAAAGAGTTCTCTCCAATAGAAGCAAATCCTTTCATTGTAGAAGTTATACCTGGGTTCCTAATGCGATCTATTTCAACTCCATTTATTTCATACCGTATCTCGTCAAACAAAAATGCAAATGCGTTTGGAGTGAACTTTGTTTTTGTAGTTGCTGTATTGTCTGACTTCAATAGCTTTCCCTCAACATACAAATAACTCATAGAAGGCACAATGCATATATCTTGTTGTTGAATTGGTATTCTTATCTCGTCATTGTTGTCTAGTGTGCTAGAAGAGTAAGGGAAATGAGTGTGAAATTCCATGTGAGAAATAGTGTCATCAAATGGGACACTACTAAAAATATCCAGTACATCCATTATTGAAGTATTTTATAGCCCAAGGAGCGTAAAAACCTTCGGTTTGTGTGTGTTAGTCGCTTGGGTGACAAACAAACACTGCTTGGTACTGTTGAGTGTGCACCCAATAAATAGTCGTCGGAGTTATGGGTTTTCTTGACTCTGTCTATATGACCCTTTGATATTCTTGGTCTTGATAAACAGTTTGAAAAATATAAGTAACCCATCTCCTACTAACTGTTCAACTAGGGACCTTCCTCAAGTGTAAACACACTGTAATACGTTCTCCTCTAAAATTAACCAACCTATCGTCCTGGTCTACAATCCGTAGTGTTATGTTACTTATTGCCCTCGTGGTGAATGGAAGGTAAATGATTGTACTGGGTATTTCAACAAGCTTATATCCTGGTGGTACTGCTGGGAAAAACTGATGGATTGTATGACTTTGCTTATTATTAACGAAAGACCCGCCCGCTATGCTGCATTCAACTCTAATCGTGTTTGTCTTAAAAATATCCACAACATTCTTCGAGTAGTGCTCATTTCCAGGTCCTATGACCTCAGAATCGAAACCCAGGAGGCTGCCAATAGAGTTGGGTTGAGAGAAATCCACCTGAGCGTTACATTTCAGAGTAGTTTGCAATGTATTGTTGTTTGTTCCCAAGCGAAAAAAGTACTTCTTTTCCTGTGTAGCCAACATCTTTAGCTTATCCTGTATGAAACGTTCAATATCCATTACTTCATATGTACCAGTAGGTATTTTAATAATCTTTCCATTATCAAAATGAAACTGGTTGTTTGTTTCGTCGACATTTGGTATGGAGTTATAAGACTCGAAGCTAAGCAAACCAACTTCATAATCATAACCACCTTCAAGTTCGATGGGAGGAAAGTAGTCTACTGAAAGAGTAGAAGTTCTACCTGAAAGCATGAACGTCTGAGACATGACTAAAGGGTGGAAATGATAACAACAAATATATATATATGTGTATACTGTATCATTTAAATTGAGGTTAAAAAATACAAACACAGATGCCCACAGATCTCAGAGTGAGTGTTGACATCCTGATAAGCGGTTCGGTTGTAAGATACGTATTTCCCATTTAAATACTTCTGAAGTTCCAGTGGAGGTATTAAGTCCCCGTAGCTGTCAAAGTACCTCACGTAGTCTCCACTCTTCTTGTAGCATACCCAATGAGTACCACTACCATTGGTATTGTCCAAGTTGACTATTGCAGACTCGTTCCTCCATGGTCTTTTAGGAAGGTTGTCACGCATAAACACTCCTCTAAAATGGGGGATTTTAAGCTTCCTGGCCCAACGTGTTAACTCAAAATCATACATTGCCCTTCTGGGCAAAATATCTATAAGTTTTTTGGCTGCTTCTGATAAGGTGCCATGTAAATACCAAGTCCTTTCTTATATGGTCTAAAGTACAGGCCCTTGCCATGGCGCAAAGCTACTGCCTCCATAGTTTCGTTATGTCTTTGCATCTCGCTCAGCCGTTTCTTGGCATCTCTAGCTTCAAGCACTGCTTTGGCCACACCAGCAGCCCCACCTGTCAGACTTCCCAATGCACTAAGCCCTGCAAAGATTGGCAGCAATGGTAGCACACCTCCTGACTTGGGAAGTGATAGAATCCGTGATCTACGTCGTAAATGACTGAACGCACTACGCCTCCCTCTCTTCATAGATCTGATGGCGTTCAACGCTGATGATGCTGCCTTTGTTATGTGTTTTCTACTCCCTCTGTTTAATATTCCACCTCTGCCAACAAGATGCATTCCTGATCCCCGCACAGCCGTCCTTGCTTGTCGTAATACATCGGAAAAAGTAAAAGGTTTAAGTCTTCTGCTGCACTTTCTAGTGGTGCCTTTTCTTTTTCGTTTTAGCGCACTTCCACCTCTTGCTGTGCCCCCTTTGGCTAACGATCCCCTACCCAACCTCCCTCGATTTCTTCGCCTAGTCTGCCGTCTCCTCCTCCTCCTGCCTTCGGTTGTTCCGGCACCAAGCTTCAATTTCGCGTTCATTGCGCTTGCAACAGCCCAGGAAGCGAGCCTCTCACCAATAGGAACACCTTTTGTTTTGAACCTTGCCCACGCCTCGTTTGCTAATACTCTGTCAGCAGTGTGTCGAGATGAAAGATCTTTGCTCTTACTGTATGCAATATCGTGTTGTTTACAAGCTTGATCCAATAGGTTGATTCCTTGATCCTTCCTTTCCAACCTTTCCTTCAATCTTGTACCAGGTCCACAAAATTGGTATCCTCCAGGCAGGTGAAGTTCTAGCGGAAGAGAGTTTATAGCACGATTAAGCAGACCACATCCTCTAGTGATCCTACGCATACTGAGCAGGTCTTACAAATATGAACACCTTATATACGATTCTTCATTTCACTTTTGTCCCCCAGTGTGTGAAGATGAAATTTAAAAAGCACCGTGACACCTTTGTTGTGGACAACGCTGTGGAAAAACTCATTCAATCCACTTCGGATGGAATTAAATCCAAAGAAGTGAAAAAACATAGTGAACTCCTTCCTCAATCCATTCGAGGCATCATTTGTGGTCCATCTAACTGTGGAAAAACAAATTTGATGTTTAGCCTTTTGACTGAACCAAAGGGATTAAAGTATGCTAATGTATATGTGTTTAGTAAATCATTGTTGCAACCTAAATACAAGATGCTTGAACAAATAATGCAAAACCTGTCATGTATTGGTTATTTTTCATTTACTAACAGTGAAGATGTTCCCAATCCTGATGAAGCTAAAAAGGACTCAATTATGATATTTGATGACGTGGCCTGTGATAAACAAGACAATATGAAAGCATACTTCAGCATGGGAAGACATAGAGATGTAGATACGTTCTACTTGATCCAGACTTACACGCGGCTCCCTAAACATCTCCTTAGAGATAACGCCAATTTAATAATTCTTTTCAAGCAGGATGACTTAAATCTAAGACATGTATACAATGATCATGTTAATAGCGATATGACTTTTGATCAATTTAAGTCTTTGTGTCACACCTGTTGGAACAAACACAAGTACGGATTTGTAACCATAGATAAAGATTCTGAAATAAACAAAGGTCGTTACCGTTTAGGTCTTGATACCTTTATTGTCGATATATAAAGGGCTCCTTTCAGCATCAATACACTAAACGTTAATCAGAGTGACAGTGAGAGGATGGAGAAGTATGGCAGTGCTCCGATGGCTCTTAGAGCTCCCAAAAAAAGAAAGCTAAGAGCAAAACGAGTAATCCGACGTATAGTGAAGAAATATCCAATACCAAACTTGAAGGAGCGGAACCAAGACAGTGCTAACAAGCACGAACATATAGTAAAAAATGAACTACTTAGACTAACAAATGCTGTGCGTAAAAAGTTTCAACAATTGAAGCATAATGCTGATTATGTTGAGAGGTTGTTAGAAGTGCAAGCTAAACCCATAGTCAAACCCCTGCAAGAGACAGTAGAGAGACGTTTGAAGGAACAGCAGTACTATTATAAACCTGTTAAAAAAGAAGAACTAGACTTTGTGGTTAAAAAAGATGATCAGAGTACAACTATGGATAGAACTTTTGTACAAGACGAAGAAAAGGAGGATGACTTCAATAAGTCCTTAGATGTGTCTACTCAAACCATTAAACCCAATCAGCTGGATATGTATTTAAAAAAGCTTTCTAATCCTCTAACGAAAGATAAAATGGACACGACTTATGGTGTTCGACTTGATGGAAGGGGTAACATGACAATTGGTGATTCTAGAATAAAAATTACAAATTCAAAGATACAGGTAAGGAATCACAGCTTTGAAACAACTCCAGGACTCCTTGAATTACTATTCATGCAGGTTCCTGATAAGGATATAGTAGAAAGGCAGGATTTGACAGTGTATAAAAAGATCCTTCAAGACACCAATGCACACCGACAGATGTATTCTGCTGAAAAACCTGTAAATGCAAATAGGGGCAAAAAGTACTTAAGCGTAATATCGGTACTTTTTCCACCAAAGCAAGGCATGACCGTTACAACACCGGAACACGCTAGTGGAAGTGGTATAACTGTTGAAAACGTGGACAGGTACACATCTGATGTGAATTTACTGGTGAAGCGACTTAAAACCTTGGTTTTGTCACAAGAAGCCGGTCACAACGCTCATAGCGAAGAAATAGACTATATTATAGAGTTGCTTCAACTAAACGGAATTATCGCTTAAGTGTTCATAGGTAATAAAGGCATTATGAATAAAAGAAAGAAGACAATGTCAAGTCAAGCAGATGCTGCCAAGAGAGGTATTGTTAATGAGTTACACAAACCAGCTAGGAAAAACTTTGTCAGAAGAAAGGTTTTTGTTCGAGGTATTGACGATTTGTGGCAAGTCGACTTGATAGAAATGATACCTTACTCAAAAGCGAATAAAGGGAAAAAGTATATCCTAATGATAATTGATGTTCTTTCAAAGTATGCATGGGCGGTTCCTTTAGACAACAAAAAAGGGAAGACAGTGGCCTCAGCTATGGAAAATGTTTTGAAAAATAGCGGAAGAATACCACAAAACATTCAAAGTGATCTTGGTACAGATTTTTATAATAAAGAATTTAAATCCTTAATGCAACGTTTTGCGATAAATCATTTCAGTACATTCACCCATTTGAAGGCCTCTGTGGTAGAAAGGCTGAATAAAACGATTAAAAATTGGATGTATAAGGAATTTGCTGTACAGGGAGATTATAGGTGGCTAGACATGCTTCCTCGTTTAATTTCCATGTACAATTCAAGGCTACATCGGACAACAGGCATGAGACCACGAGATGTTACATCGTTTCACGAGAGGGCATTGGTGAGGAAATTAAATCAAAACAAGGTACAAGGGATTCCAAAGCTAAGAGTCAATGATAAAGTCAGGGTTTCTAAGTATAAAACTTTGTTTGAAAAAGGTTACACCCCAAACTGGAGTACTGAATTATTTAAAATCATACGAGTGCGAAAATCTGTCCCACCAGTGTACTACCTGCAAGATGAAGAAGGGGACATTATCAAAGGGGCATTTTACGAACCAGAATTACAAAAGACAAATTACCCAGATACGTATTTGGTTGAAAAGGTTATAAAGCGCAAAGGAAACAAGATTTATGTCAAATGGCTTGGGTTTCCCTCACGCTACAACTCGTGGGCTTAAATAGTATATTAACCTGTTTCTCCCATCATTCTGGATTAGATCTTTCTATTGTAAACATATATTGTACAAGCTATGATTAGAAGACACATTATAGATAAGTTTGGACATGCTTTGTATCAAGAACAGAAGCATCACATATCTGATGACGAAGATGATGCATATGTGATAAGTGAAGATGGATCAAAGAGGTTTAGAGCTGCAGTGGAACCTGACGTATCACGACAAAAGGTGTCTAAAGGCTATTTAAATCGTTTCTATGTGAACAAAGACGATTTGAATGAGGTGGAAGGAAAGTTAAAGACCTTTGTTGTTAGCCTCAAAGAGGCCCAGCAAGCAGTTAAGGATGTAAAACAATCAATAGTCTCCATAGAGGGTTCTATCAAGACCGAGCTAAAAGACATAAAGGAGAATCAGTTATCCTATCACGATAGACTAAACAACTTAGAAGAATCAGATGGGAAATCATCACAATTAATTGCTTCCTTGGATAACAAACTAATAAAGCTAGTTGAATCAGACGAGAAAACGTCTGCATCTTTATTATCTTTGGATGATAAGCTCAAGAAGCTGAAAGACTCGGATGAGAAAACGTCTACACATTTGTTATCTTTGGATAGAAATGTCAAAAAGCTGTTTGAATCAGATGAGAAAACGTCTGCATCTTTAGTATCTTTGGGTGATAAGCTCAATAAGCTACAAGACTCGGATGAGAAAGTTTCTACATCATTGATGTCTTTGGATAAAAGATTCAAGAAGCTACATGATTCAGACGGGAAACAATCTAAATCGCTAGTATCCTTAGATGAAGAGGTAAAGAAGCTGCAAGAATCAGATGAGAAAACATCAAAATTATTAAGGACCATTGATGAAAGGCTAAACACGTTGGATAAATCAGATGCCGAAACTTTAAAATTTTTTGCAACTATTGATAGAAAGCTCACTGCATTACTTACGACAACAGGATTATCTATCTCTTAAAATTTCTAGCGTGTATAAATAAATGGAAACCTGTCTAGACTTGTTGTCAAAGCCTTCTTTATACAACAACGTTATGTAATCGCAAAAAAGAAAGAGATCCAAGAGGTTCAATGGA